ATTTAAGATTCAATCAGATGTAATTTGTATCTCACAATCACAACTCCTTGTGATTAACAAATTACGAAGATTTGAATCTACGGACTCTATTATTTATTTAATTTTCTATTAAGTAAATAATAGATCTGTCATTAAATTGCATTAATTATGTATCAAAAGTATTTATATCCAAACTTGATTGGACCTAGGGCATAATACTTACACGTAGAGCAGAAGGCTAAAATGACAATGCAGATTTGAGTTCTAAATATAGATACGCTACTAATTCTTCTTTTGAGGAGACGATGGGGGAGGAAGAAGCAGGAAGAAACACGGCAAATTTATATGTGAGGTGTCTGTCTGCATATGCTTGGAAGTTAGCACAAGGAAAAGTCTACGCCATCAGTCTTCTTGATGAGATTGAGCAAAAAGGTGTATAATTTGTAGCTCTTTTTCGAAATTGACAAGAGTATGGGATCAGAAACAAAAATAACCAAGGAATTTGGTGCTTGAGCATTTAGGAAAATATAGTCAATTCATTTAATCGAAATCGTCAGTAATTATCTTGACAGCTCTTTAAACATGTCATACAACACATTGACAACCAAAACTTGTTTATCCCAAATTCCCCTGAAAATATAATTCTATAAAACATGGCAACAAGAGTCCACTCTGAGATCTAAAAAACTACTTCAAGCAGCAACAATGGATTGCTTAGCCAAATTGAAAATAGATAGAATAAACTTTTTCTCAGTTCAATTATTACCTAATATAGATATTTCCTCTTTCTTTGTGGTCAGAAGCAAAGCATACATACATAATCAGGAGCATATTCTAAGCAAAGGCAGAAGCTTAAGAGTAAGAAGAATTTCTTCCCAGCAGGTGAATAGAGATCAAAACTCAGAATCTTTAAACAAAAAATCAAAACTTATGGATGATATGATACTAGTACGCAGTCAAAATTATTAGCAGTTGAAAATCAAATCAGAAGTTGTAAAGGCAACACTCAGAAGTTTGGATCAAGTTAGATTGAATACGACAGAAACGAACTTCTAATTTCCATTGAGAGGAATTTTGTCTAAAGTGCAACAGATAATGGAGAAACAAATGCTTCTCCATTCATAGGTGGGAAAAAAAATTAAAAAAAAATAAAAAGAATAACAAATGCCTATGATGTGGTTAATGGTTCGAACAAGATGGGAATCCCCATTGCCAAAGATTGATCAGAGGAACATCACACACACACACACACACATACGCTGGATGTCATTCGACACAATCACACAACTACTTGTTTGGCGACAATCGGAATGTCAAATCTAGAAAGAACAAAGCTGGAAAATGGTTATGGGATACAGAATATTAAGAGATACATTCCCAGATAGTGGACGTGGATGTACTGAACGGAGAAGAAGAAAACGTCAATGCTAGAGAGAGTTGCTTGAAATTACTCATGGGACTAGCTCTAGAATGCACGAATGATTTGCCAGAGGAGAGGCTTAATATGGAAGAGGTAGTAGTAAGACTCAAGAAGATCAAAAATGAATTCGTTTCTTAGCATAACAGAGGTCAATGAAGACCAAAATATTTTTCTTAATAGATAGTAATCGTGCGTATTTCACAAACTTATGGCATCGTAAACTGTAATTGTGCAATACTTGACAATATTCTGTGGATATATGCTGCATCTGGCCTTTCGTACATGTGTCATGGATGTAAAATTGTACAGTGGAGCTTTTTTTTTTTTTTTTTAAATATTTTTATGTTAGTAACTATATGAAACTGACGTATTAGACATCGTTTGTGATTATTTTATAGTATTAAAATTGTAAAAGAATGAAAAATATTTGAAGTGAAAGATCTGTACAATCTTGAGGTGGCGAGGTAATGAGTCGCCAAATAATCCAGTACCCTCCTCTTCTTCCTCCTATGTATTCTCTGAAAATTTAACCACTTCCTCTAATAATTTTCTTGAAAATGTAGCAAACGAAATTTATAGAGGTGATCAGTCAAATATAGTAAAGCCTGTTTCATCGAAACATCTAAATTGAACTTATCTGTTTTTTGGGAAGTGTAAATATTTACAAAGTAAATAGTAGAATGTAGAAATTATTGTTAGATGACTAATTCTCAGCCAAGATAATTTAGGGGGAGGTCTAGGTTTTGATTTAGCGGGACAATTATTGGAAGTTTTGAATGTAATTAGTGGGATTTAAAAAAAAAAATTCTAATTTTTGGCCCCCTAAAGAGCTGGGCTCGAGGCGATGGCCTCTTGAGCCTCTCCTGAGGTCTGGCTTTGCATCCAACATTGACCAAAACATCGTGCTTCTCTACAATAGAAATAGTTATATGAACTTTACTAGTTGTACACTGATTTTTGACATGTTGGTTGGCTCTTATATTATTGTCAAATGTCAATTGGATGAAAAAAACTATTTGAAATTTAAATTGTTCAATAGGATAATGTCACATGAGAAAGTGTAAACAAGAATTACACCGCCATATTATATATGTAACAAGGTTATATATATTGTGATGGCAGCTGGGGCGTGGGGCCAAATAATAAATTTCCTACTCTACTCATATATTTTATATGCAGAAAAATGATCATATGATTATTCATTTCAGACTTGGATTAATGCGGAGATGGAATTCTATCTCCGAGTGACAATATTCCATTCAAATCTAAAACGACTAGGGAATAGAATAAATGTCTATTTACTTTTTTTAAGTATGGTAGTTTGTATGATAATATTGCAGTCCAGTGACAAGTTCAATAACCATTATTTGATTAAGGGTCTACATAGTTAAGTTCATTTCTAATACAAATAGATCGAATTGATACCAAATAAGCATTCTACATGTGCACTCATGGAATAGATATTCTTTTGATATTTTTGGAAGAAAATAATTATAGAGTAGAAATCGAAGGTTTCACTTTAATGCTTTCTGTAAGGTGGTAATAGTGTTTATTATTTGGAATATGGGTTAATAGCGCAAAACGTCCCTACGTTTAATAGTTATTGTGGAAAACGTCCATACGTTTCATTTTTTTTGCATTTCTCGTCCTTATTTCAATGTTTCATTGCTAAAAACGCCATTATCACCATTTTTGAATGTAAAATTATCAAAATACCCTCCTATTTAAATAAAACAAAAAATAAAGAAAAATAAAGAATAAATTACAATTTTACTTCTAATTGTTTTAAACAGTGTAAGTGAGTCAAATAATTATTAAAACGCATAATAGCACAAAACGTCCATACGTTTGACATGTAGTGTGCAAAACGCCCTTACGTTTCAAATTGATAAAAATGACGTTTTTCGCAATGAAATGTGAAAATAGGGATGAAAATGCAAAAAAAAAAAAAAATTGAAACGTATGGACGTTTTACGTAAGAAGTGTCAAAGGTAGGGGCATTTTCCGCAAGAAGTATCAAATGTATGTATGTTTTGTGCTATTAGGCCTTATTAAAATTGAAACCATTGCCAAACCGGTGAACCTCCATACCATTTCCAAAATACCATTACCCAAACTCCGACAGCACCATCTGTTCCGGAGAGATCCATGTCATTTCCAACACACTAATCGATTATACTCACCAGGGCGCTTCTCTTCATGGTCTCTTCTTCTCCAAATGGAACTGCCACCTTAGAAATGAAAAAACTCCGAACAACATGTTGGTTGACACTTATATTGTTGTCAAATGTCAATTGAATGAAAAAACTGTTTGAAATTTAAATTGTTTAATATGATAATGTTACGTGACAAAGTGTAAACAAAAGTTACACCGCCATAGGGTATATGTAGCAAGGTTATATATATTGTGATGGCAGCTGGGGCGTGGTGACCAAATAATAAATTTCCTACTCTGCTCATATATTTTATATGCAGAAAAATGATCATATGATTATTCATTTCAGACTTGGATTAATGTAGAGATGGAATTCTATCTCCGAGTGACCATATTCCATTCAAATCTAAAACTACTAGGGAATAGAATAAATGTCTATTTACTTTTTTAAGTATGTTAGTTTGTATGATAATAGTTTAGTCTAGTGACAAGTTCAATAACCATTTTTTGATTAAGGGTCTACATAGTTAAGTTCAATTCTAATACAAATAGATCGAATTGATACCAAATAAGCATTCTACACATGGAATTAAATAGTTCCATGTGCACTCACGGAATAGATAGGAATTAAATAGTTCCATGTGCACTCATGGAATAGATATTTTTTTGATATTTTTGGAAGAAGATAATCATGGAGTAGAAATTGAAGGTTCCACTTTAATGCTTTCTGTAAGGTGGTAATAGTGTTTATTATTTGGAATATCTATCCGGTCATGTAGATTCATCTAAATTAAAATAATAATTGATTTAACTGAAAATTTAAAAGCAGATGATCTTTTTGTCAAAATGTATAAAGTTCATATAGTTAAAAAAAAAAGTATAATCATAATTACCTTGTACATACTGTACATTTACGTATTTGAAGGGTAAGAATGTAGAAAAAAATATTGACATGAACTAAGTGGGATTAATAAATTATGAACGAGGTCCTTAAGCAGTCGTACTTATTGCTATAATACAGTTGCATTTTGTTTGTAGTTGCCATCGTAATGTTTTGCTATTAATTATGTATGGAGGTTGTGAGAAACATTTTAGCAAAAATTAATGTTACGTCTTGGTTAAAATTTTAACATAGGAAGAATTTTATGTTTCATCATAAATTGTGCATGTTTAGCACAAGTTTAAATTATAATTTAAACTGATCAAACACTTATTATCCATATACTCTATGAATCTACTACTTATCGCTCAGTTTTTATTCACACATTTCTAGAAACCTGCTTCTTAATTTATAATTTAAACACAACCAAATTAAAAAAAAAAATCGATGTCGGTAGTGTTTAGCTTTCCATTCCACCATTAGTCCTTAGTGGGAGAAAAATCGTAGATATTAAAATCATTAATTCTGAGTGCGTGCTCTTGTTCTGCTATAAATACGTCATCTAAAATCCAGCTTTTGTGTATCCCTCGTCCCCTTCAAGAATTGGAACTGCCTGAAAAATGGGTTCTTATTTCTTCTTTTTTCCTATGATATTGCTGTTGGCAGCAACTTGTTATGGCCAAAGATTTCAATACTCGAGAGCAACCTATTACAGTAGTCCCGAAGGCCTAGGAACTGCAAGTATGTGGTGCTCTCGTTTTCCCTTTCCCCTCTTCTTTATGATATTTTATTTTTTTGCACAACTATTTTACTTTATTATTATTATTATTATTTTTGAAAGACTGTGTGTTACCCTTGTGTAAAATATGTGTTACACTTTTTGTAACACAATTTTACGTCTATTCCGCTGCATGTTTTCATCACTGTGGTGATTATCAACGTTGAAACCACCGTCGCCACTGTCGTTGACGCTGCCTATTTCCACCACCACCATTACAACCATTGACACCAATCTAAAATGTCACCATCAGATTTGAACTTCCAGCCATCTCACGATCACCACCTTCGGTCACCACTAGATCTATACTATCTCAACTTGCCACCAGATTTGTACTACTATCAAGCCCATGCGACTACAAAAATGACCATCACCCACCCCCATCGCTATCGCAATCCCATCACCCATTTCTAAATTTTGTGTAGAAAAGAGTTAAGTGATTTTCAATTTTTTTTACCAAATATTTTACTTCTTCAAGATATTTTGACTCAGTCAATAGTACGGAACAGAATATTAATAATACCACTAGCGTAGTAGATCGTAATATAGTAGTTTGTATTATTCGGTGTGATGATAACTAATTCAAATGAGCTTCTCATAATTTTTCCAGCTGGAGCTTGTGGGTTTGGAGAGTTTGGAAAGACCGTCAACAATGGTCAAGTCGCGGGTGTCTCTAGGCTTTACAGTGGTGGAAGTGGTTGTGGAGCTTGCTATCTGGTAAGGCAATTTCTTCTTTAAATAAATTTAAAAAAATTGAAATGAAAAAGAAGTTCGTGATTTATAGAATCTCTTGGAGGCCATATTTGGAGCTATTAGTATCACAATTTTCTCCCATAAGCTGATGCCTAACATTCAATGACTCGATTAGGTAAAGTGCA